TCTGCCCAGCACAAGCTGTGCCAAAGCTGCAGCAGGCTGGCACCCAAACACAGCTCCAGGGGAGAGGAACCACAGGGCAACTGCTCTGCTAGGCAGGAGTCTCTTGGAGAGGAACCACAAAACCACAAAGATCTCAAATCAACCTTTTGGATATTTTAATAGAGGACAGMATTTACACATTAAACCCTACAATCTGTTTCAGCCATGGCAAATGTACGTGACTGAATGGAGCAGAATGGTCAATGGCCTTTGAGGCTTCCTTTTTGAGGATGTGGCAGAGGGGGGAATACCCATCAGAATCATGTTCATCTGGTTCCCAGCCACAGCAAAGTGCTTTAAATATTCATGCTTCTCTTGTCCATTCCCATAAAGCAGATGAGCACAAACAAAAGCAGCACAAGGGGCCTCCCTTAATGAGGGTSTGCTTGTTTCTTACAGCCAGCTGCCTGACTCTATTCAGTCTGACATTAGGTAGTCTCATTCAATGAGCAAGAGAGGAGAAAACAAGGCAGTCAGATAAAGCAATTGCCTGTATTGTCTCACATTCAATCTTTYCTGATAATGACTGCATTGATAATAAATTGAAGAAAATCTGGAAGCAACATTTTCTATTTACAAAATTGTTTCTTTCCCAGCTGTCACCACAGATGCARGTCACCTAAAAGCTGCTTAGATCTCTATCTGTGTTGGTGAACACTATAAGGAATTCCCCAGGCCTGAGAATCTTGCACTAATTCTGCCACTCGCCCATGAAAGGGTTGTCTGCTCACCATTCATCTAAATCGGCTTTGAGAGCTTTCAGATGAGGATGGTGCAGAAGGAGGTCACTGTACACAGTGTCTGGTGAGCTGGCATTGGCATTCAGGGTCAGTTTGTACTCAGCAGTGCTGGCACCCTGCACACACTGGTGTTCATCATCCACAGGAACCAGATTGCTTAGAGATCTAATGTGGTTTTGTGTTAAAACAGTTCACGGGACGCTGCATTCAGGAGCAGGGAAAACAGAGGCATTGGCAGGAGCTGCAATGGAGACTCTCCCCACCCTGTGGCCAGTGGGCAACACCAGGCAGCACAGTCACTCCATTCCATCCCTGCATTATTTCCTGCATGCTTTTAGGCTGCTTGAGAGGAAAAAAAAAAAAGAAGAAGAAAAAAAAAGTGTCAATAAATGTGTCAACTCACTTGAAAATAAGAATAAACCCTCAAAAGTCTCCTTAAAATTTTGTTCTGCAGAACCAATTACTCTGTGGCTGCTGAGTAAAGCTCTCTCTGCCTTCACACTCCAAATGTGCTGTTGATCCAGGTGAACTAATATGACATCTTAAATGCACCACAGGGAAGTTTATGGCATCTCTTCTAAGCCTGGAATAAAGTGAAGAGCACTTTTACTGAACCTGGAGCGGGTTACTTCACATTTAAATTGCCCTCCTTTTTTGAAGAGTACTGATCCCAYATGCATTTGTAGAGAAAATTAGAGTGCCTGACAGAAGGGAAATGGAAGTTTGATTGTCACGAGCGGACAGAAGCACTGAGCAGCTGTGACAAACCCTGCCAGCAGGAACATAAGTGGTTATGCCACTGCCAAGGGCTGGGGTTTCTTCCAGCACTAGAGATTCATGGGGTTTGAAAGATCATTTCCACGATGAGAAAGAATGAAAGGTTTAAACAAAGATATGTGATGACATTTAAATAAAAATGCATTTGCTTTCATTTCATATACATTTTTCATTAAAATGAGACAGCTGTACTTAATATTTTCTAGATATTTCCTGTTCTATTTCTGTACCAGTGAGAAAATCCAATTAAAAATATTATTTCCCTTCACTCTTCTGAAGCTTTCAAACTATGTAATTAAATGAACAAGTCATAACAAGTTACTTTTAATATTTCACAATGGAAAGCASTGTTTCCAAGGAGAAGCAGCATGATCCTGCATGCTGAGGAGTCAGCAGGGACTCCAACCTGCCCACAGCCAGTGCTGGAAGGGCAGCAAGCTCCAGGGACATTGGCTGAGGCACTGCTGCTCCTGTGAAGGACTCACTGGGCTGTCTGCAGAGCTTGGAGTCAGAATTAATCACTGCAAGAATACCCAAGGAGATCTGGTGTTCAGGAGGAGACTGARGTTTTGTTTATTGTTTTTCCACTGATGCACACAGTCATTGCAGCATCCAGCTGTGACACTCACAGCAGTGTCAKACAAGCCAAAGGCCACTTTGTGGCCTTAACTGGGTACCTAAATCACCTGGTGGCACAGGTCACAGCTCTGCCCATGAGTTGCCTGCTGCTTTGAGATTGCTTGGTGCTTTATAATTATTCCACWAGGTCTCATTTTTCCATGAGAGGGACTATGGGAACACCTAGTCTGGCCTCTTGTGGGTCTGATCCCTTAGAGTGCATGCCATTACCTGGCCTATAATTTAATGAGGCCAAATACTTGCAGCATATAGAATAAAAKCAGAATGTTGACACTAGAACTGTGTTCCAGAGAGTAAGTGATGCAATGGCAGGAATGAATTAGGTGTACCTATATGTAGGTATTTTCATGAGCTGAAGGTAAAAGCCACCTGCTACAGAGGAAGTGAAAAGCCTGATGTCTCCATCAGCTCAGCTGGGTGGAAAGAACCAGCTCAGAGCTGGTGATTAAGTTTGGCTCTGGACACATGAGCAGTCTGGCAAACAAGATCTGCCAGAGATACTAAAAAAGCATTGGCACCAACATTCTGCATCCTTTTCCGGATGTTCACATTGAGCCCAATCATTTTCTCTGCTTGGAACCTAACAAAGAAATCTCACCAGGCTAACTTACTTGGAAATGTTTAAATCCGTGCCAAGCTAATCAGACCTCTGGATGACCCTTAGAATCTCTTTGYCCTGGATAAAGCTGCCCTGAATTAAAGAAAGATTTGCCCCCAAAAGGTTTGAAGTACCACAAGGGTACATAGAAGGGGTGGCTATCAATGGCACTTGCCCTGTCACTGGTACAGGTGACATTTAACTTTCTGGACCATCTTCAAATCATTGACAAATGATAGTTCACTGCATTCTGCGAAGTAGTTTTGGGGTAAACATCAAAAAGGACTCAGAGAGTATTGCATATATCCTTCACACACTACAGAGGTGGAAACTGAGGCACAGGTACATTCAATGCTTTTTTCCCATTCACCCAATAAAATGTTGAAAAGAGATGTCCCCTTGATATTTATTGTAGYTCCTACAGATCCTGATGCACTAGCCTGTCGATGAAGATTTATCTGCTGGCCATGCACATGTTTTCCAGTGGAGCTCATTGGGGCTGCTGTAATGCTTCTTCCC